TGTATATGTAGGTACATGTTGAATTTGTTTTCAAATATTTTATTGACTACTGAAAAGATTACAGATCGAGGTACACTCTGTAGGTATACATTAAATTGATTAGTCCATTCTTTCAAGTGCACGGGTTATTTCAAGTGAAATTTATATTTGAAAATGCTCGAAAATTATTATATTTTAAAATAAATATTATTTTATTATTTTTTTTTAATTTTTTTAATATTTTGTTTCATTTTAATAACATTGTAATGGGCCACATTGAATACATGGGTTAAATTTGCCCACGGGCCTTGGGGTGGGTACCACTGATCTAGGTAATGTCTTACGTTTACGAACATCATTATATTTATAGTATAACGCAATGTATGTATGTTTTTGGACGTTTGTTCATAACAAAGTTGGGCATTAGTTAGTCGAATTAAAAAATTATTCGTTATTCATTATTCTTCAGGTATTTTAAATTTTTTTTTATTAATTATTTGGTTATTTATTATTCTATACAATCATATTTATCTCAAATAATTCGTTAAGTCATATCTATGTCATAGATAACTTGAAGTTCCAACTTTATTGTAAAATTTATATCGTTGCGTTTCGTAATTATAACATCATCTGTTATCAAAAATGTCATATAGAAAGTTACAAATTATTTGTTATAAATAAAGAGCTAATCTAATTGGTTTAGCACTCATTATCAACATGTTATTTACTTGCATATTGGATTTAATAATATATTGTGAATACTATTCATATTTTCTGTAATTTATTTATTCAGAATAATCAATTTATTCATAAGCCAAACTATTCAGAATTACTTATATTTTTTATTCGCAACTAAGAAATAAAATATTATTCTTTATTCATAAAATAATCAGTTATTCATGTTTTTGTTTTTTATTCATCGTTTTGATTTGTTTTTACCCAACTTTGGTTCACAATAAGTGATTAATTTACATTTTTCAATATGCGATCTTTATGTATTTGAGTATAAGTAAAGTTTATCTAAAATATCGAATAATTTTTATACTGAACACTGCAGCCTCAAATGGAAATTTGATTTGATCACGCTGTAAATTATATTTTACTTATTGTACTGTATACGCCAGTAGTTAGTTTGAATTATGTTCATTGTTCTTTCCATCTTAAACAGTTTTCACTTTGTTCTCAGTTTTAACTTATTAAAGTAAATAAGTATTTTTTAAATAAATGTGAGCAAAAATTACAGAAAATGTTTACTAATGTGTATTTCTAACATTAGATTATATTATTATATTTATAAGCCTCTACAAGCACTAAAGAATACAATAATTTTTTTTCACCAGCTGGGTATTCATAAAAACAATTTTTGGAAAAAAACAATAACTTCAACAGTTTTATTTCTTCACGTATAATCTTGCATCCGAATCTTTAATTTTCATTGAACAAATGATGAATTGTTTTCAATAATTATAAATCATGGAGTTGGATATTATTAATTTCTAAAAAGAAAAAAATATACTAAATATCATAGCATTTAAAATAGAAATGTAACTTATAATGTATTTATGATGAAAACATTGCCAAACTAAAAACGGCAATTATTAGTTTGAAGAATGAAAAATATACAAGTAAAATGGTTATATACGAATATAAATGGCAATTATAAATACCTATTTAAATTACAAATATTTAAATGTTTTTTTACGGGTTTTTTAAAATAAAAACGATATTTAAATACTATTCGGTAAATAGGCATTTTTCGAAATCGTTTTACAAACACTGAGATTATAAAAAGTATTTTGAAATGTGTAGTAAAACATATGTAGCACTTTGATTCTATAAAATATTATATTCTATCCGAATAATTAAAAAAATAATAATATTTTAGTACAACCCATATATTTTTAAGTCTATAATGATAGGTTTGTTATTCCATTTTTCTTGGATTGGATTTTTTATTCGTTCATTGATTAATTTTAATAATCCAATCTGTTCCAAGAAATAAATTAATTTTGTGTGTTTCACGTTACTGTCTGTAACCTTTGAACTCTATTGAAATTATTTGATAAATAGTTTTCTTTTAGTACGTTTCTATAATATTGTTAACATTGCGTTGGATGTTATATTTACATTTGTATCGTTTTCTGTACAGTCGTTCGCTTACACAGCACTAATACAAGACCTTGTTACAGCAAGTTGTATTCAACAAGTCACATACTATTATTATTATTATGTGTATATAACGATTATTTGGGTTGGTATTTTGGTTTATTATTTCGTTCTATAGAACTGACATTTATATAAAAACCGCAGTATGGTATAACGGACATCATCGTTATTATTTTCATTGTACTTTATGCACTCTGTTTGATTAATAAATTAAAACTTATCATCAAAATTTTTTAATTTTCTAATTCCTAGCAATACTTATTTTGCTTCGACAATTTTACTGGCTCCGGTGAAAACTGAACAATTTGATTTATTTAAAAGCACATGTTTTACTTCATTGCTGACCGGTGAGACCACATACCTAATATTTAACTGACTTAACAGAAATTTCTTGTTAAAAATCTATATAATATTTATATATTTATATAAATTATACAAAACTGTGGGAGACGAATAAATGTATCCTCTAAGATAAACCTAGAGTAATACGGAAACTTATACTCCATTTAAATTGTAATCGATTCCGTAAGAAATTATGTATTGAATATTGAATATAAAAACCTAGTTCAATGGACAATATTTATTAATTATTTATTTTTTGGTTGAGTCTAATAGAATTTGAAGTTAGAAATTGATGATTGGACAAAGTACCAAAGCTATGGTAATTTTTTTTTTTTTTTTTATTTAATATTAAATATTTGTAACATTTGTACAATAAGCAAATTAGGTAATTTAAGAAAAATATATGACATGAACCTTTTTGAGAAGAGAGGCTGTCCAGTAACAGAACCCTCAAAAATGTAATATTAAATATTTAAAATCGGTATTAAATTTATCTTTGCACCAACGTCTTTTTAAACGTCGAGAAGGATAGTGAAGTAAGTAACGCTGCCTTGACCTATGGTCAGTGCCATGTTTAGACATTTTGCGCCCCGGCGCAAAAAAAAAACTTGGCACCCTTCAAAGGGACCTACCCACGGAAAATTTGGGAGACAGATTTTCATGAACCTTTTAGATATTCTAAAATCAATGCTATTTTTATGTAGTAGGCACGCCACCGCACGCTGCACGCGATAACAAAAATTTGGGAACTAATATTAGGTATATTAATAACCTTCTGGATCACTGATAGCTATATTGCTATAAATACATTAATAATATACATCAATAAATTAAATACATTAACTTTAATTTATGATACTGTTATTAAAAACAAAAGAAATAATAATTTCAAAATAATTTTTAAAGTTCAATAATTCACAAGTGAGTAAATTTCCGATCACAAAGTTTTAGCACCCCAAAAAAACTGGCATCTGGGGCAGTTGTAGCCAGTGCCCCCCCTAAATGTGACCTTGCCTATGGTAATATAAACTTGATTAATTTGACAGTGTATGGTGACATTATGCACATACTAACAGGGAACTTTTTCAGGATCAACCAAATTATACTCGTAATTCGAAATCCCTAAATATGTTTTAATTATTTTTTTTATATATAAATGGTCAGATATATACCTATTTTTAATAAGAAAAACTTTAGTTTCAGAAAAAATGCAATATTTTTGAGAATAATTATTTCTCTACAATATATAACAAATATTTTCGTCGATATTTAACGACACTTTCATTTTTGAAAAAAATGTTGTTCTACACAGGTTTTAAAGAAACTAAAAATACCTATTTTTCAGAAAATTTGCCAATTTTGCGCAAACAATTTCCACCTGCTTTCTATCTATCACTCTAAGATGGAAAATTAATTATCTTTATTATATAAGTTTTCTTATTGACCGTAATATTACAAAAAGTCGTTATTAAAATTCAAAATTAGCATTTTCTACCAATTTTTTTTTGTCAAATCATTTTTAAAACGTTAAAATATCTATATTTTAACAAAAAAAAATTTTGAAATTTCGTATGCCCTGTAAACTACAAATTTTCATGATGTTTCTCAAAGTTTGTACACGTGAAAGATTTGAAATGCCAATATACTAGTAGTTAGTACACAATAAAAAAAAAAATGTGAACACGTATGCTCATGTTATATTTTATAACTACTATTGTTAATTTTTAAACTTCGTTAATTTTTTCAATGATCATTTATTTTTTAGTTAACTTTTTAAAAATTAGCATTTATTTATAAAATTCTCTATTCGAGGCCTTCCTTTTTTTTTTTTTTCACTAACCAAGGTTCTAAACTTATAATTTTTTCCATTGCAAAAATGAAATAATTATTTCAACCAAGAAGCAGATTTTTAATTTTAATAACTGTATGTTTTTTATAGTTTTTGTCTTGATGTTAAATATATAACATTATTTGATTAAATAGAAACATATAATAAAATATTATCCTATATGGAAAAACTTCTGGTCAATTTTTAATAAAATAATGAGAAAAACCAAAATACTATAGATTAGAATACTCGTACATATAGTAAATACTCAGTACAAAATGAAAGTAAGGGAGTACCTATGAGATTGTTAACACGTTAAATGCATTATGAAAATTAGTATTAAAAAATAAAATAAAATCAAAATGTAGAATAACTTTTGGTTAATTAATTATTGGTGAAATTACTTATATACTAATAAATTATAATATAGTACAGTTAATTTTCATAAGCGACTATTCTAAATATTTAACTAAATCGATCATTCTATTTATAAGAACCAAATTACGTATCAAACCTATAAATGTAGCTTAAAATTAACTAATTATAAGCTATAATTTTGTATATGCTAGTATTAAAAATCACATGTCTCAAAAACCAATACTCCCTAGTAATTTCAATATATTTAAAGAATATTACCAACTACCTGTAGAGATACATAATATTATTACCATATTATTTTTCATAGATATACTATTTAATTTCCGAACGACATTCGTGAACAAAAAAGGTGAAGTGGTGTCAGATTCCAAAACGATTGCTTTCAATTACTTGAAGAGTTGGTTCGTGGTGGATTTATTTGCCGCGCTGCCGTTTGACCTGTTGTACGCATCCGACGTTTACAGTGGCGACGTAAGTATATTGTTGTTGTTTTTATGGGTGTGTGTATTAGTGTGTGTGTGTGTGTGTGTGTGTGTGTGTGTGTTTTTGTGTGTGTGTGTGTGTGTGTGTGTGTGTGTATTTTTCAGTAGTTTTTGTCCAATGTATATGGGTAGGGGTAACGCTGGAGTACGTAATATTTTACCTTTAAAGTACTTTGAAAAATTTACGATCCCTACAAACTCTCAACCATCGTTCGCCCTATTTTTAGTTCAATCTTTCATCCAGACCAACTCCAAACTTTTTCTACGCCTTACATATATCCATGGAGAGTTTACAGTCAATTTACCTCTAAACATGTAAGAAATTTAAACGTGCGATGGATCAGAGATGACGACAATGGTTGCTAGAGCGAAAAACTTTTATTCGTAAAAGAAATAAAAAGTGGTTTTTTCCACCCTGTAATCTCGTAACAATATAAATTATAATAATAACATAGAACTCAATTGAATGATATACTTATCCGTTCAAACAACTATCACCGTTATAGCCTGTTCGATGGTACAATGACAAAAATGTTAATAATAAAGGCTTGAGTAGATATTTTCGTCACTTTGATGTAAACAAGTGATTTGGAAAAAAATCTAAATTGTTATCGAAGCAGAAAAAAAAAACTAAACATAAAAACACCAACAAAATAAATTGTTAATTTTCACACATTATTTACTTTTCTAAGTTAAGTTTTCAATAAAACGTTTACGTTTAGTATCATTGAAAAATCTATCCGGTGAGATTCAGCAGTTGGATAGGATATTGCTTTCTGATATTACCGGACCTAGGTATAATCTTAAAACAAATTGCCTGTACCTATTTTATTAATTGAACTAAAAATGCTTTTTGTACATTTTTGACAATATTTCAAAGTCTTACTTTATTTTCATCTTATATCTGCGAAACTGTTAAGAAAATCTAAAAGTGTCTATGTTAAAATTTCGACAATCTCTAATTTTTAATAAGAAAATAAATTATTAAAAACTAAGGTACTGCATATTCACTTACAGAAAATATGATCACAAGAAAAAGTGTACCAAATAATCATTGATATTTATAAAAAAAACAATTTCAAATTCCTTATGAAAAAAGTTAATCTTGTCATCATTTTCGATTTTTGACACAACGAAAAACTATTTAGGGTTAGACCGTTTAGCCGTTACCAAGTTAATGCTTTACAGAAGTAATTCCATGTAAACAGTATACCTACATAAATTATGTTAAAATGTCTAGTTCTATACGTTTATCAGACTTAAATATAATTGAGTAAAACTTAAGTCGTTTATATATATATATATATATATATTCTTTACTACATTTTGAATCTAAATTAAAAATAACAATTAAAAGCAAATCAGTTTCAAACTAATAAATCACTAATAATGATGACATTATCTATATTCATTATTATTAAAAATCAACATTAGACTACATAATATTTAGAGAATTATTTTCTTTGTATTTTGTACTTTCAATGACAAAATGACCTTCAACGCGAAGAGATTAGAACTTCAATTTATTTATAGATTCATTCTCAATTAATGGTGTTACTATACAGTATATAGTGTATAGTTTTTAAAAACAATTGTAATTGTTAAACTCCCAGTAGTCACGAAACAAAACATTTTAAGTTTTATTCCTAGTATACTAATTAAATATTGATGGTTATTAGATTTAATCCCTTAAAATAATTAATATAAAGTCTAAAATTTAAAAGGTTATCGTCAGTAACATAGTTAAAAACAAACGGTTCTTTTTATACCGTGCATTATAAATGCAATTTCTAAAGTTTTGATAAATTGACTAAAATAGGATTGAGATTAAATTATTGTTGTTAAACGTATCAATCTATTAAAATCTGCTATAAAATAGTTACCTTCAGTTTTTTTATTGATTGTAAACAAGATATACTTAGGAACTATTTACACTAGTGGTTTTTAACCTAGGGAGGCGTGAAAAATGTTGAAAAAAACGAAAAATGAAAACGTTGCCGTTTTCTACGACGTACCTTGCCACTGTGTTAGTCGCCGCATCGGTCGATATTTTTTTCTTTGTACAAATAAATTTGTTTAATACTAAAGAAACTTCATTGAAGTTGTATTGTTATTAATCCAATAACCAACGTTAAAGCAGGGATTGGTACCTTTAAATTTTTACGGTTCCGGTTCTCAATTTTTTTATTAAAAGATTCGGGTTCCGGTTATTGAAAAATACAAAATAAGAGTTCGAGTTCGGGTTTTAAATAGAATATTTTAAAATTTATTCCGTAGTATTTTTTAATACATATTTAAAAATTTCATAAATGTTACCAGTATTATGGCATTATACTAAGCAATATGGTATAATATACTCGTATATCTCTCAAAATGTCTCTCTTCAACTAATTTATGTATATATATATATATATATATATATATCGAAATAAGATTTTTTTAACAACTATATAATAATGTATAATATTATAGTATTATAATAAAGCAAATAAATAAGAATATATGCAAAATAAAATTTCATTTTTGAACTCATTATGTTGTGATTCAAATTTGTATCTATAATAATAAATAATAATAATTTATTTAGCCAAAAACAGAGTTTGTACATGTTGAAGAACAGTAATATGTATAAATTAAATTAAGTTATAACTATACATAATAAGATATGTTGCCCAATTCACCACTGAGATAACCCCACATATTGGAGGAATTGAAGTATTAACTTGTTTAGCCTTTAGTCGTCTATCTGTCAGTACATAATATTAAAAAATAAGATTAAGAATAAAATGTTTAAAAAGCTTTTATCTTAGAAATTAATTTATGCTTTGACATTATTAAGAATAAAAATATAATTAATAATGTTTGTTATATCTGATATTTTTCATTTAATAATGAGGGTTCCGGTTCAGTTCTGGTTCTTTGAATATGTAAAAGTTCGGTTCCGGTTCCCAATATTTTAAAGATTCTTGAGTTCCAGAACCGGTTCTTTTGAGTTTGTTTCCAGCCCCTGCATTAAAGTATAGTTTACATATAAATATTATGTATATATCAATCTTATTGAAGTGAGGGGGGCGTGAACTCATAAAATAGTTTTAAAGGGGGCGGACACCTCAAAAGGTCGAGAACCCATGATTTACACCATAGATAATGCAACGGTCCAATCACACAACAATCACATTAATATCACGGTCCCAAGTCTTCCATACTTTAACGGTCACAGTCTAGTCATTTGTTACTAGGTCATTAAAAAGTACAGACAATAACAAGCAGAATAAGATAACATTTTTTTTATTTTAATAATTTATTTACACTTTTTTTTTATAAATTTATACTTAAAAAATGTAATTAACATTGATCTAATAGGTACCTCCAATATAAATAATGATCAAAAATATTTATTTAGTGTAGATTTATGGAAAATAAGTAATAAATAATAAGTAATTCGTTTAAAAAAAAATACATTCTTTGTAGGTATATTATGATTTTATAAAACATTACACTACAATTAATATATTACTTATTATGGAGTAATAATTATGGTTAAAATATTTAAAAGTTAAATCAATCATTATCTGTATTATTTAATTCTGTTTCTTAGGAATCAAATATTGTAAGAGTCACTAGAAAGAGCAAATTGAATAGTTTTTATTAAATATGTAAACAACTCTTAAAAATAATATTTATAGGCACAATTGAAATAATATAACTAAACATATATTACACTAACACAGCTTTTAAAATAATAGTAATTAATTATAAATTTAAAAAAAATTAATAATTTTAATAAGGTTCTCATTAATTTTTAATTTTTAATAGTTTTTGACCTTTAAGTTCAGATTTTCGAAATTTTTGAATAAATATACTCGAATTTATTTATCTAGATGAATTACAATAGATAACTAAAGAATTCGTCTAAAATAATTCATCAGATACATAATTTTGTTTATTATCTAGATAAAAGATAATTAATTATTTATCTGGATAATTTATTTAGCTTAAATTTTATAAAATAGAATATTATATATATATATATATATGTATATATCAGAGGCACAGTAAAAGCGGTAATAGGTCTGAATGGCCCGGAATAAATAAAAAAAAAAAAAAAGAATAATTAAAAAGAAATTGCAAAATTGCAAATTCTGCGATATATTATATTATAGTGTGTAATAAATTTTTTAAATGTTGACAAGTTTTTTGAAATGTTATCCTATGAATCATGAACATCATTCTGAACTTTGTGTTATGGGTTGTTAGGACTCTTGATACAAGATTCTTGTTTATATAGCTCAAGGTACTTCAAAATAAATTCGTTTGACCACTAAATATTTGTATAAAAATTATTTAAACAAATAAAACGAAAATAAATAATAAAAAACCACTGAAAAATAAATTACTAATTTTTTTTTTTATTCACGCGCAATATACACAAACCACGTAAGTCAGCGGAACAAACGTTTGATAGGTCTAACGATCTGAGCTCGGGTACCAAAGAACGACAACTCTCGGGAAGATACGACCCGCGCCACACACTGTAGGATCCCGGCTTTACAAAAACCAAAAACACCGCGAGTCGACAGACACGTGCGCATTTCTGGTTCACATATCCATTTATTATAAGTGTAAAAATTAAATCCAAAAAATTATTCCCGGAAGACCTGTCTCATGCTAATGAAATTTAAATTGATTGTTAGGCTGCTTGTGATTTTGCCATGACGTGAGCGATATCGATAATGTAAACATTCCGATTTAAAAATAATTAAATAATATTTAATCGAACCGAGACCGTAGCGTGATCGGACCATTGAATTATCTATAGTGTGAATAGTGGCTTACAATGAGATAATGTATTTTGTATATCATTAATGAACATTCTAAAATATAAGACGGAAGGTAATAATGATCATCTGAAGTGTACTTCCAAATTTATAAAATTATAATGATGCATAGCATTACACTTGCGCCAATATGGCTATTTCATATATACCG